GCAGCCGCGCACGCGGGGTTCCCAGCGCTCGGCTCTCCACGCGTCTGCGCTCCGCGTCTGCACGGCTCGTCTGCTGAGTCCAGAAAACCACACACACTCGGCAGTGCGACTAAACCGCGGAATCCCCACGCACGCGTTTTTACGCTAAACGCGGTTAATGCAAACGTCAGCGTCTCTGCATCATTCGGAGCTTGGGTCTCTCTCAGGCATCAGTCCAGCCCCCAGAACCTCTTCCTTCCCCACCTGGGATCCGCGCCCAGCCTCCTGCGGGTGCGGCCGACAGCTGCCCGCGCCACTGGCTCCCTCTTGTGGGCCTAGAAGGTCACTGCATGCCCGCTGGACCCGGGTCCTCTTGCAGGGCCAATCCCAGGGATTGGAGGATGCTGACATCTGGAATTGATCAAGACTAACTTGAAGACTTCCCGCAAGTGCTCGGCTCTTCTGATTCCCTCTCGGGACACTTTTAGAGTCCTCAGGTTTTCCCGTGTGTGAGACTTTCTGAGCAGCATCAGAATGGTGTGTGCAGGTGTCTCCCAGGTGCTCTCTCACAGTGAGTGTGTGGGGCAGCTCACAGGACAGGCTGGCCTAGGGACACAGGATCACAAGGCCCGCCATGGAGCCCTCGGTCTGTCGCCACCTGAGCATGTCACTTGGCTCCCAGGCCGCAGTCTTCATTGCATGCTATGACGTCAGCGGATGGGAACATGTTCTGCATTCTCCAAGACAACCCAGGCCAGCGCTGTTAGTACCTTCCATATATGTTGAGGGGCTCAGCAAAAATTCCTGAATCTCAAAATCACCTTCCTACCACAGTGCCTGAAGTTTTCACCTAAGGCACGACCCTTCAAGGGGTTTTCTTCCCTGAGATGCAGGGACACTGTAAATCCACAGGAGCTGGTGTGTGGGATTTTTCCACCAGGGGGCCACTCCTGGCATCCCAGAGCAAAGTGTCTCTGGAACCACGGGTCACCTCCCCTGCAGGGAGATGGCCAGTTCTTCAACTGGAACCCCTGGTTCTCTGCTCGGGGCTTTTTGGGCTGGCATCAAATGAATGCCCCCAGAAGCGGCGCTCAGCCATGACAGGAGGTGCTTCCTCATCCCTGGGCAGCAGTGATGCTGTTCAACAGTGTTGCCCATTTCCCAGTACAATTAAGCCCCAGGCTTCCACGGAGGTTCCTGCTGGACACCACTCCCTGTACTGGCTTCATGCCCTGCTCCATCTCTGCTAGTGCTTTCTGGATCCCTTTGCAGATAAACACTTGCACTCAGATCCTTGTGTCAGGGCCTGATTCAGAAAGTACCCATCCTGGGGCAATGGGCACCAGCAGTGGGCCTGGGATGAGACCTTCAGGATGGGGGTCTGGAATGGAATCACTCACATGTCCAAAGGGAACAAGACCCCGATGCTGATGTTAAGCGGAGTTTCAAAAGACTCTGAAAGCTTTTCATCTTATCTTGCAGATAAGTTCTATGAAATTGTCATCTGCAGTGAATTGAGATAGAATTTGCTGGAAGGAGATGCATCCTGCTAATGCAAGAGCACCAGCACTTTAGAGATATGGCAGCAACAGACCAGAGTTGATTAGTTAACTGAAATTGAAACCCCGAAGAAGATGACAGGCTCAAGCCAGCTGACCATAAACTTGGAACACAGTATGAAGGCCAGAAGATTTCATGGCGCCATTTAAGTGCTTTCATCTCCTGCAGATCATGAAGACTGTCAGATCTAGGTCCTGACTGAGTGTTGGAGTAAGGAAGGAAGTTGAAGTCACAGCCCTGCAGGGTCTCTATGAGGCAATGAAAACCCTGATAAGGAGTGAACTTGGCAGCCAAACAGAGAGCTGGGGGTGATATGCCTGAGAGTGTTCAATCCCTAGATTCCCAAGAATCTCTTGGCTGGCAGAAGTAGCCCCTTCCCACCCACTAGAGAGGAGCAGCTTCTCCCCACCCAGGAGTCAGGAAAAGCTCTCCCTGAGCCAGGTCCCCCAGACAATGTTGCTGCCCTGAAGAGCCAATCCTGCCTCTCCTCTTTGCTACCAATAATTATGGCCAATTTGAAGAAAGGCTTGGGTAGGGAAGGAGTGTTCCTGCTGTAGGAAGAAAGGGGTCATTCACCACGACAGCCCAGGGCCTGGCTAATGAGAGCTCCTGGATGGGGTGGATGCTCGGAGGATGGAGGCAGGGCAGGCAGGGATGCAAGACAAGCAGGGGAGGGCAGAGCTATTGACATGGGGCACTCTCTCACAGCTCAGGTGAGGTCCTGGAGGACACACCCTCTACTCGGGTACTAAAGAGTCCCCTAGTTAGGGAGACACCTGTTTCCCTGGGAGACTCTGTGGTGGCTGTCTTAGGGAGGTCAATATTGAATGTAGGAGATGTTGCCTTTGAATTGGGCTTAGAGACAATGGGGATTGTGCTATTGGAATAACAAAGGCTACATGGAGGCCCTGGACCAGCACAGGAAAGGCGGAAGTAATTGTCATGATTCATAATGGGAAATGAGGCAGAAAGACAAGCTGGGGGTCTGATCTTCAGGGACCCCTGGTGATGGCTGATAGCCAAGGTGTGCCAGGGTGAGATCGTGGGCAACCAGTGAGGGTATCACCTTATATAAACAACCAAGAAGATCACGATCAAACGAGCAGAAACCAGGCACCACTCACTGCACTGGAAATCTGCAATCCCTCACCCAGTGCTAGATGAATCCATTCCACGGTCCAGGGCTCACGGGTTGAAAGGAAGGAGACCCTTGAGGAAGGGTCCTGCAACACACCACACCACACACACGTGGCAGCTCTTCCTCAACTCCTGCCAGAGAAGCTGGCCATTCCCTCAGTAATGCCACACTCAGGAAAGGAGAGAGGATCTCTTAAGGCTGTTGGACGTAGGATCTGAGTGGATACGGGTGATGGTGAGGCCAATACACCCTCAGGCACCCAACATTATGGAGCACACAGAACCACTTGTCACCAGGTCCCAATCAGTCTCATAGTGGTCCAGCGGTCACGCCCTTGGCCACTGTCTGCTGGGGCAGACCAGCTACCCACAAGAGGAAGGGGAGAGAAGACACCTGAGGTGTGCACAGAGCAGCTGCGAGCATCTGTTGTTGTACCGGGTCCCCCCACGGCCACCCACGCCACCCACAAGGAATTGCCGAATGTGGAGCAGCGGAAAGACACCTCAGCCCTGAGCCTGTGCAGAGGAGGGCACAGTGAGCAGCTGGAGAAACTCACTTTTCTGGCAAAGTGCAGAGGCCCTTGTCCTGGACTTACTGAATGAGAATCCTCGTTGAGCATAGTAGTCTCAGGTGACTTGTGCGCGTGGAAGGGTGAGATACATGGCTTCAGGACCTTCTGGACCTTTTGGGAGAACATTTTGAGAACAGTTTCACTTTAAAATAAGTGGACCTGTGACTCTCTAACCTGGCCAACACCAGCCCCATCTCTACCAGCACTGTTACCAAAAACTGGTCATTGCCCTCCAGCAGGGCCACTAAGAGAGCTACCTCACCAGGCACCATTTCCTATGACAAGCACGCAGCTGACCCTGTTCCCACAACTATTTTTCAAAGTGATCATATTAGGGGGTAGGTCCTCCCCAGGCCCCGCACTCACCGAAGTTTGGACCACCTCTGCGGCTGTCCGGACTGTCTGTCCCTCTCCTCACTCACCAGCCCCAGCGGCAGGTTCTGCCCGCCCCGCCCTCCATCTCCGCCCTGTACTCGAGGTTTTCTGCCGTGGTCAGAACAGCCAAAGACAACAGTACTTCAACTGGCAGGAAACAGTCTTCACACTCTCAGGATTTCCTATTATGGGATGTACAGGCTTTTCCAGAAACACAATTGCACCTAAAAATAGAAACTGCCTGGATTTGCCTTCATCTCGGCACAATAACTCTGGGGCCACTGCCACTGGCCTTGAACGAGAGCCAGGCACTTTGATACACGAGGCTGTCAGCGGACGTGAGGAAGCTGCTTCCAGGGCCTGGAGGGAAGATGGGTGGCTGTTTACTTGCTCCTCATGCCTCTGTTATTTGGTTTGATTTTTGCCAGTAAAGCCTGGGCAGGAGGAAGGAAAGGAGGGAGAGAGGGGCAGAGGAAGGAGTGGGGTGGTGGAGGGGCTCAGGAGCCGGTGTGTCTGGAGGAGGAGGGGTAGGCCCAGAAGCCAGAGAGGGAAGGAGGACTTTGGTGGGATTTTCACTGTCCCCACAGCTGACCTGAAGCTGGCTCATGGCTTCCCGGAGTGCAGATGGAGAGAGCAGGTCTCAGGGAGGGTCTGTGCTCTCCCTTCCCACCCCCTGCCAGGATGCCTGCCCCTGAGAGACCTCCCTGTCCTGTCCTCAGTCCCTCTGGGCAGGGCTGGGAGGGAAGGAATGATGAGGTAGGGGGGTAAAAACAGAAGGGGCCCGGCTTGTGTCCCACCTGTCTGAGAGCAACAATAAACCGCAATCTGGTGGCTCCAGGTTACAGCCAGAGAAAGCCCAACCTGGAAATGCAGGCCTGGGTTAGCTGTGGGGCTGATCCCAGAGAGTGTCCAGCGGTGAGGCCAGGAGGACACAACCTGAAGAACATGGTCAGTGACCTGGAAATTGAGAAGACAACACAGAAGTGATGAGAAGCCAGGCAGCCTGAAGGTGTCCGAAGACGCGGGTGAGCCCTGCTGGTCCCGGCACGGGGTCGGGTTAAGCAGCCTCACGCGCTAATCCCAGCTGTCCCTTACCAGCTGCCAGGCCTGGAGTGCCTGCCTCTCCTCTAGGGCTCCCTTCCCTGTCCAGAGAACTGACCACCACTCGTTGCAGGGGTGTCTTCGAGGTCAGCTGAGAGGGATGGAAAGCAGCACTTGTGCCCTCGGTTGAGGGGACGAGTGGGCGGAAGAGGCCTCGGGAGGGACAAGACAACAGCTTCACCGGAGCCAAGCAGGGGCCAGGAAGAAAGGGCGCAGCAGGGCCGCAGCGGAGCTCAGAACAGACCTGGAGCACGGAGGACCGGGACTCGAGGGCCCACCCCGGTGAGAAGAGGCACGTCTTGTCGGTGGAGTGGACGCATTGTGCTCTGCTGTCCAGGAGGGGACATGGGGACCCACTCCCTCCAGAAGCTAATGGAAGAGCTAGAGTATCACCCTCTGCAGCCCCCAGGAAGGAGTGGACCCACCACTGACCATCCCGCCAGTTATCCAGCGGGCAATGCACTGCCTCAGCCCAGGTCCACCTTCCAGTACCTGCTCTGAGATGGAGACACGGTGTCCAGCTTTGTCAGCAGAGGGTGCCAGGGACGTTGCAGGAAGATTGGGACTTTGGTTCTGTACTGGACATGCGGCCTGAGAGCGTCCAGCGAAGCTCCACCCCGCCGTACATCCAGAAGGCACAGTTGCTCTGCAACCCCAGGCCCAGCCTGAACCAGAGCCCAGAGTGCCTCAGCCCTGCCTCATGGACACTGCACTGCGGCCTCCCTCACAGTGCATCCCCACCTGCTCTGGCCTCTGCTTCCAGCACCAGCTGGCTCTCCTGCACCAGGACTTGGCTTCCCCCGGCCACTCCTGTGCACATGTAGGATTCCCCCCATATTGTCAGGCAATTGTAAAATTTTTAAAAAAGGTAAAACATGCATTGCCAAAACCCCAATAATTCAGTTTCTAAATATCCAGTTTAGAGAAATTATCCAGTAGGTGAGCAAAATGGTAGTTTTCTGCAGTGTTTTTTTGCAAGAGCAAAACCCCTAGAAGCAAACTACATGTCCATCAGGGAGAAAGTGGTTAACAAAAAGAAGCAAACAAAACTTGATGTATCTGCTGGGCAGCAGTTAAAGCCCATGGGTCAGCGCAGCAAAGAACTCCAACACACATTATTCAGTGGAGCAAGCAGAGTCATGTGTTTCATTTGATCCCATTTCCAAAAAAAAAAACAAAATGAAGTAAAGCTAGTAGAATAACCCCACCCCCAAAATGATATTTGTAACCGTTGACATATGCACATGATTTTCTATATATTTCTGCTTTGTTGATTTTTCATAATATGCTCCCTGTGCTTTTCAATTTGCTTTTATTTTACATTACAAGTGTTTACTGAGTTTTGCAAAAAAACAAATTTCCAGTGACCTGAGTGAGACCAGTTTCTGAGGCATGCAGTGGACTGGGAGCCTCCTCAGAGGTCATGTCCAGTGCTGAGGCAGCCCCACTCAAGCCCCTGGCCCCACTAGAGCATAGATAACCAGCCAAGTTTCAAGAGAGAAAACTCCAGTGCTTGTTTCCTGTGTCCAAGGGTTTCCTCAGATGTGTCTCGTCATTGGACTTTATGGCCAGAGAGTCCTCAGAGACGAGCTGAGTCAGTCGCTGACTTTTAAGGCTGAACAAGCTGAGGCTCTCAGGAGCCAGGGGAGGGACTTGAGATCTCCAGAATGTTGGACATTTTTATTAAAAGGGTTTCTTGCTGAGTACCAAGAGGGCAGCAGGACAGTGGGCCCAGGACACCTCTGAAAGCCTGGGAGCCCAGAGGAAGCACCTAGGGAACCATGTTCAGAACAGACCCCAGCTCGGTATTCTCGTGACGCTGCTCAGGCCCTGCCGGGACGCCTGGCATCCAGCCTACAGTGCCCCCAGGCTCTGGAGAGCCAGCACGGGCTTGGGCTTGTCCTTGGAAGGACAGCGCATGCTCCTCTGCACCAGGGGACTGTTCCAACCAGGGTCACTGTGCAGAAAGACCTATAAGGTTGACCTCGTTCCTGCCCTGGCAGGCTGCTGTTGCAAGAGGAGGGGGCAGTGCTTACAGTGTGGGAGTCCAGGGACGTTGACTCCGGCCTGACTAATAAGGCTCAGCCTCAGATGGACAGAGTGGGGAGATGCACTGGATGAGGAGTCGGCCACCCAGGAGGGTTCAGAGTCGGTTCCAGGACAGACCCAGCTGTGTGCGGAAGCTGGTCCTTCAGATCCTCCTGGTGGGAGTTAATGGTCAGCTGGCTCCCAGCTCACTGTTCTGGGAAGCCTTTGGTTTGTTGGGAAGTACTGGGAATTGAACCTGGGCCCCCCTCCCTACCATGGAGCTCCATCCCAGGCTATTTTATTTTTTTAATTTTGAGACAGGGTCTCATCAAGTTGCCATAATGACCATGGACTTGGGATCCTCCTGCCTTGGCCTCCCAAGGAGCTGGAATTCTAGTTGTGGGCCACCATGCCAGCTTCATAAAATCTCCTTAGAAAGAAAATTTCAGGAAGCTGGCTCGTTTGGGATCTGAGGAACAAAGAGAGGATAGGGCATCAGGACGCCCGGATTCCATTCTCTGGACTGTCATTAGATAACGGTACTCTAGGACAGATGGACATGTTGGAATCCCTGGTTCTGCCTCTGCTGTGGTCTGAGGGGTGAAAAGAAGGTGGGAGGGCCTCTGCATGTGGGCCGGCACTCAGACCAGCCCTGGTGGTTCTGCAGTGCAGAAAGCCTTCTGTGGGCATTTCAGTCTGTTTTATTTTAACTAATACCGTAATTGTACAGAGTTTTTTTAAAAAAAATGTAGGGTAAATTACATATTTTTACACTGTGATTATATAAAAAGGAACAGAAAAAAAGTGATCAAAAGAAAGTTCCCTCTATTCCTATCATTCAGATTCAACATTTGACACCTGGTTCTACTTCCTTGATAGTTTGATGTAAATATTTTCTTCAATAAGTAATAGATTTGCTTGTTTTGGGCTCATATCCAAGAAAATAATTAATAAACTGGGAGAAAGGGAATACGTTAAAAAGTCACAAAATAATTATTAAGTAAAATTAATCGATACAGTAATGGTGTGTTATTGTCACTGAATGGCAGGCCAGGGCCAGGTGAAGGGATGCTGTTTAAGTTATTATTTCTAGATGTACATACAGAATTGAGGCAAACCACAGCCCTATTTGAAGTGTCATGCAAAGGTGTGAACAAGGAACACAAAGTTAACACATAAAAATGCATATTGTTTGAAATTATTGTCAATGTTTCTAAATCATATATTCAACAAAACAAAATAGAAATCACATCATAGGATTCTTTACAAGGGGTGTTGGGCAGTGTGGTGGACTGGACTGGTCACAGGCAGTGACCCTGAAGTCAGACTGGCTGGACTGGCTCCCCAATCCCACAAGACTGATCCAGCGGACACAGGCCGACTTCCTAGGGTGGTGCCTGGCACACACTAGGTACCCAGTTAACCGTAGGTCAAGATTCAGCTGTGGAGCCAAACACGCCAGAAAACTGTGCTGCTGCGGGGGTGGGTGGGGGGGTTCTCAGATGGTCTTTGACGGGCAGCACGCAGCGCAAAACCTGGAAGCGCGCCAAGATGGAGAAGAGAGGCATCCTCACTGTCAAAACATAGAGCCCTCCCACAGAAATCCCAACAAACCCCAGAACCATCTCAGGCTTCAAAGTCATGTGCCAACTCCAAGTCACTCCCTCCTTAACACCCCACTGTGGGGACACTGTTCTTTAAACAGGTTTGTAAACGCCACCAGCACTTTGAGGGTGAGTATCCTTCACGCACTTATTGACTCCCTGGGCTCACCCCTGGAGACAAGGCTGGATGAAAAGGGCAGGCCTGTCCTGGGGAGGGTGTTAGCGGGCTTTGTAGTACTACAGTGAGACACCAGAGGGACTCCCTTTCTGAAGAGAAAAGGTTCACATAGCTCACAGTTTGGGGGGCCCCATTGGTTTGGCCTTCAGGGAGGACACCCGTCAAGGTGGGAGTGTGCCAAGGAGCAATCAAGTGACCGAATATCCAGGTAGGAGCAGAGCAAGGGAAGAGACCCAGGGTTCCAGGACTCCTTTGGAGGGAACATCCCAGTCATCTGCCCTGTGTGTATGTGTGTGTATGTATGTGTGCATGCTGCTGGGCATGCTGAGGATCGAACCCAGGGCCTTGGCAGCTAAGCTGGTGTTGTACGGCTAAGCAAGGCCCCATCTCTACAGACCCACGGAACCTTCCAAAAGTACCACAAGCCTCTAACATGGAGACCTTTGGGGACAGTACCCGTGTTAGGACCACCCCTAACGTGGAGTCCAGTAAGGCACATGTGTGCATGCGTGCACGCACACACACACACACACACACACACACACACACACACACACACCTTCCAAAGCACAAGCAGAGATGGGGCAATGACAGAAAGGGACCCTTTGCTAGGGGAACCAAAGTCAGAACGCTTTCCCAAGCTACCTTGACTTCTTACCCTCCTCGTCCCCTCGTGCTCTGCTTTAGCACAGAGATTTATCTGCTTCTTTTGTGATGCTACAGGCAATCACAGAGGCTTCTGGATGTGAGCTCGTGGGCTGCTACTGACCTCCTGGGGAGGTGACCTCTTGGGGAGGATCTGAACCCAACCACCTGCCTCCTCCTGCATATTCCCTCCTTCTCTCCCACTCCTGGGCATTACTGGGCATGCTCCACTGCCTCGTCCATGCTGCTCCCAGGACACCCTCCTCCCTGCCACCCAGCTGGGCCCCATGAGGTGCAACCCTTGGTGCAGTTGGAGAGGACAGAAAGGAGCTGCCAGCACAGATTGGGTCACCCAGGAACTGCAGGGGTTCAAGCTGGGCCATGAGGGTGCGTGGGACATGGGACCTAGCAAAGTGCCATGTGGAGAAATAGGGCCTGGGCTTTGGGGAGAGCGGATAGCTGCCAGAGATGACCAAAAGCAGGGCCACTGAATCATGGGACATTGGCCTGGTGAGGCCAGGCAGGGACTCCTGGGAAGAAAATGATTCCCCCTCAATGGATTCTCTGTTAACTGGGGATCCAGAAACAATCCAAAATTCTCTTTAGAAACTTCTCCTGCCCAGGCAGGCCACGAACACAGCACAGCTTCCAGACTTCAACAGCAGACGGACGGGCCTGATACTCTTGTAACTCGGCCCAGAGATGACGCTGAACCTTTTCAGCCGCCCCTGCCTTGAACACCATGGCCATGGTTTCCATCCGTGGAACATTTTTGCGGCATTACTGTGGCTGCTTTAATTTATCACTTTGTTTTAAAGAACTGCACCATCCAAAAATTGCACAAGCTCACTCATTCCGTGGAGGGCAGATGGCATCGTGCCTTAATGAGATGTAACCTCCCACTGGCAGGGTGGACCCAGGCCTGGCTTTCTGGGCTCCAACAGTCAAGAATGGGAGCTGCTGGCTTTTGCAAGCAAGTTTTAAGCTCTCTTTTGTTGTAATCTCTGAAGACTCTCCGCCCAGCCCCAGAGAGGCCCTGCAGCTGGCTCCAACTGACCTGGGTCAGGTCCAGGCTGAGTCGGGAGGAAGCCTCTTAGCTCTCCTTCTCCTCCCTGGCTTTCCACCACACCATTTCATGACGTGGTTTTTAACATGCTCAATTTTACACTGGATTTTATTGTTTTAATCGTATGAAGAGCTGAGTTTAGGGTTTCACTGATGTTTGGAAGATAATTTAAGGGGTGCTATTTGAGAACTAGAAATTTTTTTTTTGAGTTTTGTTGCGATTACTTGTGATAGCCCTTATTTTTATGACTACAGTTCTCCCTTTCCCCTCCACCACCCGCCTTCACCCCCTCTGTGCATAGATGGCCTCATCTCGGTGGTCTGTCTTGGACATCACCATAATGGAATATATATGAGGATTAGGCCTGGAAATGTCAGGCCTTATTAAATTTTACCGTCAAACCCGCTTTCCTATTCTCCATTACCTCTCTGGTCTGTGTGACCTTCCAGAGAGAACTGCCCATGCCCCATGGGAAAAACAGCCCCTCTGAGGGTCAGCAGAGCCCTGCTGCTGTCAGCGGTCAGTCATTACTGCAGAGGCCACGACGCCCACTCTGGTTCATTTTTTAAAACTCTGTTTCAGAGGAGACCCCAGGGAGGGAAACCTGGCTGTTGGTGGTGCCAGTGAGCGCCCAACTAGACCACTGAGCCTGGG